CTCAACCCCGGAGGGTTCAAGCCAGTCCCAGCACTCCGTCTGTGGTGGACATGATGTAGGGGAGGGGAGCTCTGGTAAGTGCTCATTTTGAGTTGATACTGCTCAGTTACATGAGGTAGAGCTGTCCTTTGCTTTGTTATATGCTAGAAGTGGGTTAAGAGATAGAAATGTACAAGACTAGCTGTGTTTACCTCTGCTTCACATTCTCCTATGCAACTACACAGTGGGGCCCTGCGGATGCACACCGAGATTTCACATAAATCTTCCAGTGAAATCTTTAGGAAAATTTCACGGAGGTACTCGCTAATCCTCTGTGGAAGGTTCCTTGGCAGAGCTGCTTTGTTCCTTCTTCCGCTGTAGGAAACTTTCCCGTGTCAATCGGCAATCACTTGTGCAGGGACCAAAGCGGCACATAGGTGAGCAGCATAGGGACTCAGTCTGAAGTTGCACCTATGCAGGAAATGCATCCTTGCAACCTTGCTTACCCTCAGGAGTGAGATATCGGCTTCAATGACCCCCGCCTATGGAAAATGGTGGCAGAATATACAATATTGTCCCTAGTCACTTGCAGTGATCCCCTTAAAAAACCACCTAGATCCTTTGCCTCATCTTGAACGCCCTCTTCCCCACCCCTGCCAAACTCACCATGTTTAAGGCATTTGCTTGAGTTATGTGCTTGCCAAGGGACAATCAGAAAGAGGTTTTTTACTATCATGATTCAATGCTGTGAGTGCACTATCATGCCTCTGTTTATTGTTTCCTGTGTTTCTGCAGATGTGGCCTTGAGGAGCACCCCTTAGACACTGGTGGAGTGCCTCTGCCAGATAAGGAAGTGACCCAGGAGCAAATGTTCTGAGGAGTGCTCCAATCCTTTGACGCCGCAGAACAAGAACACAGGGTGTGGAGAGAGACAATCAATGAAAAATTAAAAATAGATAGCCAAGAGAGGAAGCAGGGCGAGGAGAGAATTTTAGAGGACCAGGAGTGGATGATAAAAGTGATGGAGACCAAAGAGAGATACTGAAGTCCCTAATCGTGCTGCAGGCGCATGTGAGCTCGCTCCCTCCTGCAGCCCATAAGGAACCGCTAGCTATGCCCTCCCGAAACTCCTTGCATCTTCCCAGCCTGTCGTATACCCCGTTCAGTCCATTCCTTTGGACAGGTACCCCAGGGATAGCTGGACTTAGACACAGCTATGAGAGCCTCCATCAAGAGAGTGCTCCTCTTAGTGTTATGTCCCTATAAAGAAAGCGTTTTTTGTGTGTATTGGTTATTGCTGTTTGATTTTCTTTCAGAGAGTACATTTTCATTAATCTTTATTTATCTCCCACACACGATGGTTGCTGCTGGAATTCATACACAGTGGCAATTTGCACATTTGCAGACAACAAATCACGTTCAGGAAGCAATCATCCAAATTTTCATTCAAGGCAACAAGTTAACAAAGCATGGCAAAATGCTTTATAGTAAAACACGTTACTGGTGCTCATTGTCAAAATGGTGCCTCATAGCCTCCCTGATTCAAATAGCCCCGCCTTGTGCCCCTTTAATAGCCCTGGTATCTGGCTGCTCAAAATCAACCACAAGGAAATCCGCCTCCCCGCTCCACCCCTGGGGAAACTTTTCACCCATAGCCTCACAAATATTATGCAGCGTACATCAGACTGCTTTGACCATGGGAATATTTGCTTCACTGAGGTCTAACCTGCCAAAAAGGCAGTGCCAGCGAGCCTTTAACCTGCCAAACACACATTCAATAGTCATTCTGCATCTGCTCAGTCTATTGTTGAAGCGCTCCTTGATGCTGTCCAGGTTTCCTGTGTAAGGCTTAATCAGCTATGGCAGTAAGGGATATGCTGGGTCTTCCAGGATCACTTTAGGCATTTCAACACGCCCATTGGAATCTTCTGGTCTGGAAAGAAAGTCCCTGCTTGCAGCTTTCTGTACAGGCCAGTGTTCCTGAAAATGCATGCATCATGCACTATCCCTGACAACCCCATGTTGATATCAGTGAAATGACTCCGGTGACCCACAAGCGCCTGCAATACCACAGAGAAGTACCCCTTTTTATTGATATACTCCGTCACAAGATGGTCCAGGGCCAACATTGAGATATGCGTGTCATCTATCACCTTGCTGCAGTTAGGGAATCCCATTGCCACAAAGCCACCCACTATTTCACACACATTTCACACTCACAGTCCTTCATAAAAGGATGCAATTAATGGCCCTGAACACTTGCGTGAACACAACACCCACAGTGGACTTCCCAACTCCAAACTGATTTGCAACTGACCAGTAGCAATCGGGAGTTGCCAGCTTCCACACGCCTATTGCCATGCACTTCTCCACTGAGAGGGAAGCTCTTATTCTGGTGTCCTTGCGCCACAGGACAGGGCAGGAGAGCTCAGCACACAGTTCCAGAAAGGTAGCTGTACGCATCCAAAAGTTCTGCAGCCACTGCTCATCATCCCAGACCTGCATAACGATGGGATCCCACTGCTCTGTGCTTGTTTCCTGAGCCCAAAAGCGACGGTCCACCGTCTGCAGCTACTCCATGAATACCAAACTTAATCTGAAATTGTTTCTTTCCACGGCACACAGCAGGACAAGCAGCATGGATTCCTGTTCAGATTTGAAGCTCATGAAATACTGCATGATCCGCCGCAGTGTGTTCGTAACATTGATCACAAAACTAGAGAGCAGTGCAGGATCCATGCTTTCAGGAAGAGATGGAGGGTGCACAGTTTACAGGCACTGTTAAAAAACAGCACAAAATGTAGTCGGAAGTCCATGGAATAATGGGACAGAAAAAACTGCATCATGGGACGATGCAGAAGGTGGCAAGTTGCACAGTGGGATAGCTACCCACAGTGCACTGCTCTCTCTGTCAACGCTAGAGCACCAACTGTGGATGGGCTCCGACGACACAAAGAGTGTTGTGTGAACATGCGCAAGCGATGCAATTATAGCAGTTTATGATCATTGGTGTAACTTGCGTTGATTTTACTCTGTAGTGTAGACATAGCCTCAAACGATCTCCACCTCACCCGTTTACTTTAACATCATCTTCACTGGCAATTGAAAAAAAAAAAAAGCATCGCTCCCCGCAAATGGCACGGAGATCTCATGGCTGCCTAGCTTGATTTAAACTGCACATTCTGTATTTTGGCTTTTTTGCGGGGGAGGAGGGAAGGAATGGAGATAATGGGACTAGTGTAGGAGCAAAAGTTTAGCACTGTAGTGGGGGTGGGAGGTGGAACAACAAACCATCACATCTGGTCCTTCCCTGTCTATATAATTAATCTATAATTCAAATCAAGGCTGAAAACAATGCTTTTCCTTCATACCTAGGATGCACTTTTCTGGGAGGTTCTTCATCGTAGGCTAAAGAGGATTAAATCACACATAACAAAAATGTTTTAAAATATTTTAGATTCCTATTCCTAGTTTTGGATGACTTGGGGCTGTGGCCCTCTAATAAAACTAATTCAGGGTAATCATTCTGCTAAAAGTCATTACCAAGCTCTGATTTCTCGGTTCTCCGTCCTGTTTGGATCCAGAGCCCTTTTCTCCACAGAGACAGCAGCAGAATCTTAGGAATCCACTCTCACTTACTAAAGGGCTAGTAAGTAGTGAAGAAAAAAGTTAGCCAAGCTTTTTGGGAGGCTCATATTCAAGTGGCAAACCTCCAGTAATAGTAAGCAAGGCCCTTTTGTAACTTAATCTAGACACAACACACAAAAGAAATAGGATTAATCTCAATGAAACTACTGTACTTTGCTACTTACTGCTCTCTGTGTGCGCTGAAGTAATTCTCACCAAGGGCTAGAAGAAACTGGATTCAGCTCAGATCTTTTTCTCTGTCACCCTCAAAACAAAAAGCAGAACAGAAGAGAAAGTAAAAGAAAACCCAGAAAACCATTTGTTTTTCAATTGTGAGGAGGGTGGCTAGTGGTAGTGAAGTACCAAATCTTAAACTCCGGAAGTTTCCAATGAAGCTGCTCACACATGCATGTATCTGAGAGCTAAAATTGGTCTTTAATGCCCATGAATGGGAGTATGATTACAAGACGTCACTGGGTAAAAAAAGTAAATGTTTACAAAACTTGAGACTAACAGAAACATCATCATCATATCTTTCTCTAGATTTCAGCCTTCAGTGAAAACAGTTTAATGCACTCCTCTGCAGTATTCACAACCAAAACATTGAATGTTGTGCTAAATGCATAAAAACATGAAAGTGCTGTTGACTAGAAAATAGAATAAACAAAAGTGAGAGCGAGCCATCTTTTTTCAGTGTCCAAACTGAGGAAATAGGGAAGAAGTAAATTAAATGTTTAAGATTATTTGTTTTAATGCCTGAAAGTGGCAAGAGCAGAGTGCAGCCTGATAACCATTATGCTCAGAGCTAGTTGGAAAACATATTTTCCATCCCACAAAAAAATTCAAAATAAAAAAAAATCATCACAAATCAGGACAAAAAGGCAAGAGTTTCAAAAATTTTCACAAAATTAGAAAACAAATCTTTTAATGTCAGCCTAAACATTTCTTTTGACAAATCTGAAATGTTTCCGCTTCAACCCTTTATAATTGTTATATAAAATAAATTTCTAAACAAAATTTCATTTCAAAACAAAAACATCAAAAAAAAAATTTTGTTCCAGAAACATCGAAATAGGACATTTCTATATTTTTAAGTCTTATTCTACATTGTTTTTTTTTAAATGTAGAAAACAATACAATTTGGGGGGAGGGGGAAATCCCGTTTCATTTTTGACTCGCCCTAATGCTCGTTTTAAAATGAAATGGACACTGACACTCACCCCCGTAAGACAGAGTTACTGGTAACAGCTTTGAAAAGTCATGTTTTTATTTTAATTGTATTACAGTATTAACTCGTGCCCCTCCCAGCAATAACCACCAACAGGGCACTGCGAGACGCGCCGGGGGGCCTTCTGCCAGGCTGAAGTCTGAAATCAGAGCGTGGGTGCGCCCAGACTCCGAGCCGTGCGCAGCGGCAGCAGGTCTCAGCCCTGGCCCGCACCCGTCCCGCAGCAGGGTTGTACCGCTAGGCGGCCCGGGCCACGCGAGCTCGGCCCGGGTCGGCCCGCAGCTCTCTCCCGCGGGGGCGAAGCAGGACATCCCCGCTCAGCGCGCCGGGGCTGAGGGGTCGGTGTCCTAGGGGCCGGAGCTTCGCGGCGCGGCGGGAATCGACCTCCCGCTAAAGCGACCCCAGAGGCTGCAGGTACCTGCGAGCTGGCGGGGGCGGATCCGTCGCTGTGTCCGGCGCGCGGGCCTGGCCCTGCGAGCTGTGCGCTGCGCTGCGCTGCGCTCCGCCGGGGACAGGGGGAGGGGCAGCCCACGCGAGCCCGCCCGCCAGGGGGAGGAGAGGGCGGGGCACATGCCCTGTCCGCCCCCTGAGGCGGGGGACCCGGAGTAGCCGCACTGACCGGGCGAGAGGGACCGGCATCCCCTCCTCAGCGGGCCGGCCCCGCCCGCACGCACGCCGACAGGCTGGGACTCCCAGTGGGCATAGAAGTGGGACTCCTGGGAGTGGAGGCCCCGCGGGGTCCCTGGCCGCCGTGGCACTTGCCCCGGGGAGCAGAGCCCGCCCCTCCTGGGCCTGCCGTGCCTCGCGGGAGTCGGACCCGGAGTGATGGGAGGGTGGACACGGCGCGTGGGAGAGAAGCTCCCAGTGCCCGTGCGGGGGTGGAATGCGTGGAGGAGAGTGAACCCCCGTATGCTGCAGGGCCAGACCCCTTAGAAATGCAAATAACAAGAAGTCCGATCCAAGCCCCTGCAAGGCTCCAGGGAAGAGCGGTTTGTTGTCTCCAGTGGGATTGCTGGCCAAGCCGGGGCCGAAAACAGTCAGGTAATCCAGCCCCCATTGCAGTAGCCCCTGGTTCTAACCTAGAGCTTTTCAACAGCAGAGCTCAAAGCGCTTCACAGCAGTGCCTTTATCCTGCCAGCACTGAGGGAAGGAAGTATTACCATTCTAGGGTGACCAGATGTCCTGATTTTATAGGAACAGTCCCGATTTTGGAGTCTTTTTCTTATATAGGCTCCTATTACCCCACCCTCTGTCCCAATTTTTCACACTTGCTGTCTAGTCACCCTATACTATTCCCATATCACAGCTGGGGAAGGCACAGAGAGCTGCTGAATGACTTGATAAGGACACAGGAAGCTTGTGGCAGAGCAGGGACCTGAACCCGTGTGTCAGGGTAGTTCCTTAACCAACAGACCCTACAGCAACAGACTGATCAACATGAAGCATGAAGTCAAGTTGAGGTCTTGGAATCACAGCAGTAAACACTGTCATTGTGTGACCTTGGACAAGTCTCTTTACCTTGCTGTGGCTCAGTTTCTCCATCTGTAAAATGGGGTATTGTGAGGCTTAGCACATTGTTTGCAAAGTAATGTAAGAACATATAAAGCAGTGTTTCTCAACCTAGAGGCCACGGGACAGGTTTAGGGGGGTTACAAACAGCGCTTGCATTAGGGAGTAGGAAGCAGGGCAATTGCCTGAGGCCCTGCAAAGCTAATTTGCATGTTTCAGCCTCCACTGCCCAGGGCCTAAACCAGGCTTTTAAATCCAAACATTGTCACCCGCCATGGCTAGCCCCCAACCCCGCCCCTTCTGCCTGAGGCCCTGCCCCTCACCAGAGCCCAGAGCCATCCCTTCCGCCACGGCCACCAGTCTAGTCCAGCAGCTAGCCCTGCTGACCCAAAGGAGCACCAGAAGGGCAGGTGGCATATGACCCCAGCCTCTCCATCCCCAGAGCATGGGAGGCCCCAGCCCCGGAGCACCAGGAAGGTGGGTGGCGTGCGGCCTCCAGCCCTGGAGTGCCCCGCCGCAGAGTACGGGAAGGCGAGCGGCACACCCCCACCCCAGCCGGAGCACTGTGGGGCTTGAGCTGGAGGACTGGAGCCACATGTAGGGAGTGGTCATGGCCGGTGGTGGGGGTCACGCCTGGCTGGTTGGGGAGGCAGAGCCGCATAAAAAGGTTGAGAAACACTGTTCTGAAGGAATGTACTTTAGAAAACTACAGGTTTTTTATGCCCTGCAGTGTCTCAATGTTGTGATATCATTACGGCTGTTATATTAATACTTTAACATGTCTATTTACAGATAAAAATAATGAGGAATCCCAGTAATGAGTGGCTTCAAAAGTTATTTTTCCTCCCTTGGTATCCTGCTGTTAATTTAATTGTCTCGTTAAACTGACCTCACACTTGGTAAGACAACTCACATCTTTTCATGTATTTATACCTGCTCCTGTATTTTCCACTCCATGCATCTGATGAAGTGGATTCTAGCCCACAAAAGCTTATGCCAAAATAAATTTGTTAGTCTCTAAGGTGCCACAAGGACTCCTCGTTATTTTTACTGATACAGACTAACATGGCTACCACTCTGAAACCTGTTTACAGATAGACATTTAAGAGCAATGGGTACAGAGTAAATTCTCATACGTAATGCAAGATGAGGCAGATAACATCTGACCTAATTCCAGAGCAGAAGAAATGTGCATGAAAGTGAAGGAGCATGCAATTCACTGGGAAATATGAGTATGCAAATGTCAATGGAATGAAAACATGAGCAACTACAACAGAAGACTCTGAGAACAGGAAACAAAGGAGTGAAAACTGTGTGGATGATGTAGTATTAAACTCCCTAAACTTTAAATCTAACCAAATGAGGGTCAATCCATCATCATCATATCCACTCATTATACTCCACACCCAAACACAACCACTCTATGAACTTCATACACTCATATCTCAATGTCTGTACTTTGACCCATCAACCTTTTACCCCCAATCGGGGATATTGCAGACTATGTATTCCTCATGCCACCTGATCTTAAACCAAACTTTGCACCCTTGATAATCTGTATGTTATTCCCTGATAACCAGAAACTTCTATGCTCAAACTCTGTTCACTATTTTTTTTAACATCATCTTAATAACATTCTTAAATCTGTAAACACACTGTCCTCCCTGGAAAATGTGCTAAGCCCAAGATGCTATATGTCAGAAAAAGGGACTTCAAGCAGGGAGTGGTGAAAACATAATGAGATAGATCCAGAGAAAGAGGATATGGCCACAGCAGAGACTATTACAGGGCTGTCTGTGAAAGTACATAGGATTCTGATGAACCAGAAAAGAAAAAAATTCACTGATGAAATGGAATTATAAACATGATTAGAGAGTTGCTTTTATCTTGTGGGAATAGTGAGAGTGGTTTAAAAAACAAAACAAAAACCAGCTGTCTGTGATAGAAATGGCTATAGACCTGCCAATATCTAATCATAGTGAGAAGCAGCTTATAGATTAATCAGCAAAGGTAGCATGTAAAAGTATCAAAGAGCATGGAACACAGGGCAGACAAAAATGGATTGCTGGATTCTAATAAGTCTCCAGCAAAGATTTTGAATATATATATTTTCAGTGTACAGTTCCTTGAAGAGCTTGCAGACTGCTCTTGTTGAAGTCAGGAAGAATGAGTTTCCTTTCCACAAACCCAGGCTCTATATGGTCCAAGGCTATAATGATAGCTGTAGAGATGCCATTGGTAAACTTTGGTGTACGCAGTGTTGTTGTAGGCATATCAGTCCCAGGATCTTAGAGAAACAAGGTGAGGAAATGTGTTTTATTGGACCAACTTCTTAGTGAAAGAGACAAGCTTACACATAAGTCTTCCTCATACCTGAGAAACCTATTCAGTGTGTTACAGCTAAACACAAGGTGGAACAGATTGTTTAGCAGAAGTAAACACATAATACTGACAAAAATGGTAGTGTAGACAAGCCCTTAGTGTTAAGTTGTCTTGTATGTTGTTATAGAGTTGTATCTGATCTGACAGAAGTCAAGACCTACCTCTGTGTGTGTTGGAGTTATTACTTTCAGTGTTCCAGTACAAATCCCTGTACTTCTATAAGCAAGCATTACCATAAAAGCGTAGATGAATGAAATGTTAAGTTGATAGTTTAACCAGAAAGAGAACATTTATCTAGATTAATCCAATCATGCCTCCTGCTCTGGAAAGTCCACAGCATGAAGCTGTATTACCCCTGGGTTGGTTGGCAGTAGTTTGAAAATGTTCTGACTTGCAAAAGATGAATCTTGGGATGCCAGGAGAGGAATCTTGGAAATTTTGCTACTGTGACTCCAAGTCCCAGAATTCCAGTAGCTTGTGGTAGGCATCCCACAACACCCTGTGAGAAAAATCCCAAAATGAATTGAGCCCAGTAGTAGGACAAAGCACCAGGGGATTCTCACCCACAATGTTAAGTGCTTATTTAAAAAAATAAAAATCAGTGCACACTGATTCAGGGGAAAGTAGGTAAAAGCCAGCTGCGTGGTTGCAATGATTTCAGAATAGTTATCTGTCCCAACTACCAGCCACTAACCCCCATGCAGACTATCCCTAAAACAAGATATAAGAAACAAATTAGATGCGTCTTCTAATGAGAATAATTAGCCTAGAATTCAACTCCCTTTTCCTACAGAACATAAATGTGAGGATACAAATCTGATTTGCATGGCTCACCCACTCGTGAAGACCCCATATTAAAGTAGTTAGAAAGGTTCTAATTTGATGTTTAAGCACCACACTGTCCATAGTGGCTTTTCCAACATGTTTATACCAGTTTTAACATGGCTGCAACCACGGTTAAACCATGTTTAAACACCAACTGTAAAGCCACTGTGAACAGGGCATATGACTGTCTACACTAGAGAATTAAAGAGTCCCTTATCAAATTGATGTGATTGAAGCACACACAATTCAATGCCTCCTTACTAGCTCTGATTACTGGTGTTTTGAACTGTTGCAATTTTACCAGCATCCACTCTAGTGGTCGTGTAAACTTTTTCAGAGGCAATGCTTATTTGTTGCACAGCTCCCCGAAGCAATGGATTTTGGGAGCTTTTGGAAAGCCACTAGTGAACTATAGGCCAGAAGTGAGAGCTTTCAGGTAGTTTTTAATCCACATTGACAATAAAATGATGCAGACTGAAATGATTCAGACTAAATCAGTATTTAGCCTTGATAAAAGCAAGTCTAATAAAAAAACATTATTTGACACTATGTAAACCATTGGGAAGCACTTATTTATTGATAGGAATGTGTTTTACAGGTTTGCTAGGGAGGCTATGCAGTTCCAAGGCTTAAATTACTTCGGCAAGCCTTTTAGGCCTTTGCCACATAGTGGTTGCAGAACCATGTTACACATGTGGCCATGCATGTTTAAACATGGTAAGTTGCTAACATGATTTGAACACGTTTTCCTTAACCAGTGTGGGGAGGGAATTCTTTTCCCCCACCCCCAGACCTATATTAGCCAAACTACAATCCATGGAGTGTTTTTATCTATATAGTAATGTTTAAGAAAAAAAAAATCCATCCCACACTGATCTGGGAAATTTTGCTCCTTGCGTAGACAGTGCTTTATAAATAAGTCCCTTTCTGAATGTAGGCTCCTCTTAGACACAAGATGTACTCACTGTGTCCTAGATCTTCAAAAGATAACACACCCTAGAGACACTTGTCACTACTACTCTTGTTTAAATTCTAGTGAACAAAATACCATAGAATCAGTTCAAAAAAGGAAACATGAGCACAAGATCAAAGTTGTCAGGCAGCTGTAGTATATACAGCATCTTCAAGGCTGCCTTGAATTTCAATAGAAAATACTAGTTAATATCTTTTATAAATACAACAGTACAGAATAAAACTGAACATAGCTGTTTCGGGTTTGTAATAGAGAAAATGCAGTAAGGAAGGACTATGTGCCCAAATATCATGGCTATATCCCAAATTCACAACTTCTGGGCACAAATCCAATCTCTGTTAGAGGAAAAAAAATATAATGGATATAAGAGACCAGGTCTCTCTATTAGATGCATGTCTCCGTGCCTTTTCAGTTGACCTTTCTTTAACAGTTGCAAGACATTTTTACAGTGGCAGAAAGCAAATGTATTACCATCATGCTGCTCAAGGAAAAAATGAACTTTGGCACACAAAGTTAAAATAATCCTTGGTTCTGGCATGGACTGTGGTTATATCTGCAACAATGGGGTCTGTACTTGTATCAGAGTAACAAACCCTAGAAACATTTAGTGACTACAGTGACTACACTTTTTTATTTTTATTTTATTTTTGACTTCACTCCCACCAGACTAACTTCAGATAAACTTATTTAAGTCCACATTCTCCTAACAGCAACAAGGCCATTATAATGCAAGGCATTAAATACCACAGGAATGAGAGCTATAAAGTGTATATAATAAACAAAGGATGGTGAACTCTTGATGTTGATTACTCTGCTAAATAACTAAATAATGCAGCCTTACCAGGAGAACAAGTTTCTCCCTTGGGACCACACTAATGCAGAGAACAGATATTCACTAAAGGCAGAACAACATTAGGGTGGAGAGAGAGTTTATTGTACAAATGAGAGAGATGGAAGAGGTAGATATTTTCTATAGTGCCTCCAGCAACAACAAATAATGGAGGTTATTTATGTGTAACTGGAGGTTCTTTGAGAGGTGTGGTCCTTATCTGTATTCCATATGTGGGTATGCATGCACACCATGCACTTGAGTCTGGAATTTTTTTGCAAGCAATGTCCATTGGCCTGCACATTCACCATAACTTTTCTCATGCCCCAAAGCAAGGGCATAAAGGTTGGTGTGGGCCGATGATTTTCCAGTTCCTATTCTTACTGAAGTCTAAATCTGCAGCAGAGGGGATGGATGACGGGTAGTGGAATACAGATAGGGAGGGACCACACATCTCAAAGAACCTCCAGTTACAGGTAAGTAACCTCCATTTCTTTTTCAAGTGATGGTCCCTCTGTGTAATCCACATGTGGGAGAATAAACAAACAGCAATCAAACAGGAGGTGAGTGCAAGGATGCAGAAGTGATAACTGACTGTAATACTGCTGTCCCCACAGGTATATCTGCAATGGAAACCAGGACCAGAGCATAATGTCTGGTGAAGATACAGAAAGAGCTCCAAGTAGCTCCCCTACATCTCTCTAGTAGGGGTAGGTCTCTCAGCTACATAGCAGAGACTGCTTGCTCTCTGATGGAATGAGCCCTCACCCCTTCCACTGGGTGTGGGGCAGGGGGATGTAGACTAGTTGGTAACAAAAGATAATACAACCAGAGATCCATTTAAAAAGTCTCTGCCCCAATAGAGTGTGCCCCTTGATTTTCTGCTATGGAAAAATAGTTTAGATGTCTTTCTAATATTCTTTGTAGATAAAAAGACAAAGCCCTTTGGACATTCAGAGAATACAGCCTTCTCTCCATCTGCGGCATATAGTTTAGGAAAAAATACTGGTAAGTGGATGATCTGACTCATGAAACAAACTACTTCAGGGACAAATGTGGAGTGGGGGTTTAAATAGACCTTTTCTTTATAGATGGTAGTATATGGTGGGTTCCCCATGAGCATCCCCAGCTCACCGACTCTTCTAGCTGATATAGCCATAACAAAGGCCACCTTCATAGACAGAGGGGCCTTTGAGCATGTGGCTAGAGGCTTGAAAGGGAGGTTTAATGAGAGATGATTGAACAAAACTGGAGGTCCTACTGAGATATGATCACCACCAATGTTGGAAAGGATCTAAGAAGTCCCTTCAGAAATCTAGGCGTGATAGGATACGTGAAGATCATAGGGTTACCCCTGGCTGAAAAGCTCTGATTACTGCTAAATGCACTCAAAGAGAACTAGGTGCAAGACCCAGAGACTTAAGGGTAAGTAGATTTTCTAGGATAGCAGGGATCTCAGCATATTCCAGACAAATGGTGTTGCTGAGTCCAAGAGGAGAAGTGCTCCATTTTGCTGAATAACAGTTCCTTGCAGAGGCCTTTCTGCATTGGTTAAAGATGGAATGCATCTTCCAGAACACAAGAATTCTATTTCCAATGCCCATCGAAATACCCGTGTGACAGTATACCCCCTGAGGCTTTATGGAAATATGCTTATGAATGTATATGTGAGATAACTGGAATATGTTTTATGCTACATATGCCATGTAACACATCTCTGTAAAGGTTATGATCTACTGAATACATTCCTCCTGTTTGTATACATGTATCATTTTTTTAACTTGAAGTTAGAAATCAAGCAAGTATACAGCCAATATTCATAAGTAGCCTTAGTAGAGCATTTGATCAGCTTCTTGAGAAAGGAATGTGCAAATTAAGTGCCCAATCAAGAAACACTTAAAGGACAATGAATCTTGGAAGGCTCCAATCCACATAAGAAGGTAGCATGTAAGCAATGGCTGCTGCCTGTAAAAACTGAATCATGCATGGACATGTGACTTGCCCATGTGACTCCAAAACTCCATCTTGGAGCTGGTCTTTGCATAGGGGAGAGGAGGGGGTCTCCACCCACAAGAGAAAGTCTATTTAAACCCCTGAGAAACCCCTCCATTTTGTCTTCAGCTGGCTAAAGAGATAGCCTCTCCACCCCCAAAGACACTTGAAAGAAACTGGAACAAAGGACAGTAACTCCGGGGGATGTGAGTGATTGCTAGACCCAGACTAGAAGGAGACTATTCTGTAAAAGGAAGCTTACTGGAATTCCTCTGAGGGTGAGGTTTTTATCTGTATTCAGTTTTTTTACTCAATTAGACAGACTTGCATGTTCTATTTTATTTTGCTTGGTAATTCACTTTGTTCTGTTACTATTTGGAACCACTTAAATCCTACTTTCTGTATTAATAAAATCACTTTTTACTTATTAATTAACCCCGAGTATGTATGAATACCGGTGGGGGGGGGGGGCAAACATCTGTGCATACCTCTCTATCAGTGTTATAGAGGGCAAACAATTTATGAGTTTATGTAATGAATGAGCTATTGATATTGTTTAAAATGATCTGGTGGAGACAGAGAAGACGGAGTAACCGTCTCAGCCGCTGATGATGACAAAATTGTTCATGGAACCATTGGAACTGGTTCACCTTCCTCCAAATACTCCCATGGGGCAGGTTGTGGATGGCTAGGTGATAGCAAATGGGGCTCATGCATCGATCCTGGGTGTCTAGGGTGGGACTCCCATGGTCTCCAGTATTGCCAGCGGAGGATCATCAGGATAGTCTCTTCCTCTGGTGTAACAATGTCCTGGAATAAAGAAGATCCTGATAGGAGTGATGAATGTGGCCAGATCAGATCAAAGGTCTCAGACCACGCTGGAGTATGAGGAAGGTCCACCTGCGGAAACTGTCAGTACCAGAGCTTCCCCACTCACACTGGAAGTCAGAGCCACATGGGACAGTGTTGATACAGGTACAACATCGGATCTAGACCTGGATAAGAGCACCGCAAGCTATTTATCTTGAGTCTTTGCCATCAGAGCTGTCAGATCCCTACCCTTGCACACCACCATCTCCTGCAGAGATTTGCTTTGGTCTTAATCCTTAGTGTCTGTTGGAATTAATAATTTCAAATATTGTTAATATTCTGGGAACTCAAAACACCAATGTAACCATGAATTTCTTTATTAAATCTGAAAGCAAAAATGGTACTTTATGCAGTTGCTCTAAACATGTCTAACATCCTAAAAATAAGCAGTTATACATCCAATACAGTATTAATATTTATAAGCATGTGATCAGTATACTTACAAATAGGCCAAATCTAGGGATGACCATCTCATTCTGGCATGCTCCAGCATGATCAGGTAGGGTCTGACAAAACCTTCAGATTCATGGCTCTCTTTATACCCTTCAGCTAACTAGCTTTAGCAAAAACCTAGTTTGAAGCAGTTTATCTGTGCTTCTTTCCATTCTCCAAGGCCTTCTCTTATCTTCTTTCTGCCCCCTCCCAGCCGTGCTTAGCAGAACAGTGGGAAGGTTTGGGTTTGTTTCTTGAGACAATTTTTGTCATATTACTGTAGCTTTTATTTTATAATTATTTTTGAAACCGTATATCCTTCCCACATTAAAGTAACACTACTTACTAGTCTCACGGCTTTCATTTATTTGCTGATTGGGGCCTTCTTTCTACGGGCCATGAACCATAAAGTGAAAGGTTTTTTCCCTTAACCAAATTTAAGATGCTCTAATTTTTATCATCATCCTACAGCACCTGTGCACGCAGTCTCTCACGACTTTGCCTGAGTCAGGGAGGAATCCTATCTCTTCATGACAGTTTTTGACAAAGATGACTTTTCCTTGTATCTATGAAAGTGCCCCTTACTCTCATGTGAAGCCTCTCCTTAGTCTTACCAGTTTTAGCTTCCATTCCTGAAGTCATGCTTGGAGAGATGCAGCCTGCTTCCTGAGACTGATGTATAGGTCAGGGGAGGAGGTTCCCAAGCCAAACCTGATTGTGGTCTCGCTACCTTCTCCACCAGATATTTTCTAAATTTTAGTTACTGACCCTCAAGTTCTCGGCAGAAAAGAATGGCAGATGCTGCAGTTGAAAGAGATATGAACCTCACCAGGCAACAGAGGCAGCGTTGATGGTTGTTGCTCGCAGAAAACAGTTTTGGAACACCAGGACCCTGGGCATAATCCCAGACTTCTGAAGCGGAAAAATTCTCCAGGGAAGGGAGAAACTAACTACACTGTGCTAGAATAGACTATAAAAATGAAGGTATATACCAAGGGTTGGCAACCTTCAGCACACAGCCCATCAGGGTAATCCGCTGGCGGGCTGCGAGACGTTTTGTTTATGTAGATCGTCTGCAGGCATGGCCCCCTGCCGCTCCCAGTGGCTGCGGTTCACCGTTCCCAGCCAATATATTTAGAGCAATGATATAGTAGAAAGAATCTTTCTTGTCCTGAGATCCTGACTCAGATTATGCCACGGTAAGAAGGAACTGGAGAGGCCTTAGCCCACACTACTCTTTGTGCCCTTGTTTCAGAGCATAAGGAAAGATATGGCACATATATGGGCCAACAGATACTACTTGTAAAATCCTGGGCTCAGGCACATGCATATCCATTGGTGGAGTACACAAGGACCACCACTCAAAGAAGAATCTAGTCGTAGCACTACCTATATATTAGACCCACCAACGCTTGAATATTTTAAGTCTTTTTTTTTTTAAAGTTCTTATAAACAATTGTGTTGTTTGAGTGAGTCACATAACATCGTTTCTTTGAACTGACAAGCATGAACCCGTTTGAGGGTGAAGAGACTTTTTACAGGTGCTTCTGTGCCTTTTCCACCTATATCATCCTGAGCAATAGCTTGAGCAAAAACTGGTATTTAAGCAATTGCATTTCTAAAGGTTTTTTGAAGTGGGGTTTAAGATTGTTGGACAATGCCAAGAAAGTGTCCCTACTGCCCCCAATAGCCTCAAAAAAGCATGAATGATAAACACCTTAACCATTCCTGCACAAGACACGTCTTTGATTAATCAGGAGGAAAGTGATCTAGCTTCACCATGAAGGTAGACAAAGTTTTAAAAAGGTTCCTTCACATTCAGTATTTTCAAAAGTACAATATCTAAACAAGAGTTAGGAGGTTTTAGCTAAGATCCCCTCCTCTAAGGTCACCCACTGCTTCTTAAAGACTTAGAAGGGCTGATACAGGAAATGCAGTTCTCTAAAGAAACATGACTTGAAACGAGAATCAATGGGCTCATTAAAAATAAAGTAAAAATCTTGAGCAAAATAGAAGAACTGACCAGAGAACAGGAGGGAAAGCACAGTTTTTTAAAAAGTGAACGGTACAGAGTTTAAGCGTAGAAGTTTCTGGTTATCAGGGAATAACATACAGATTATCAAGGGGTACGAAGTTCAGTTTAAGATCGGATGGCATAAGGAATACATAATCTGCAATATTCCCCCATTGGGAGTAAAAGGTTAACGGGTCAAAGTATAGACATTGAGATCTGAGGGTATATTGTTCAGATGATGGCTATGCTCGGGTGTGGAGTGTAATGAGTGGATACAATGATGAGGATGGATTGACCTTCATTTGGTGAGATTTAACGTTCAGTAAGTTTATAGTTCCAGTTCATATGGTCCAACGGAAAAAGTCTCTTGCTCCCTTTCTTGTAGTCGATGCACAGTATCACTCCGACTCATGCCTCCTGGTACTGTCGGTGGCCGGTGATGTGTTCAGTGTAGACGTCCCTGGACCATCAGATGGTGTCTGAGACCATGAGGTGCCGCATTACTACAAGACAACAGTGTTGCGTTGCAGACCTTACTCAAGCAAATCTCTCCTTCATCTCAGTTGTCATTTTGTTGATAAGGATGATGCTTGATAAGGATGGTCTTTTTATTTTTTCATACTGTAGGAGTAACTGAATCTTATGACAAATTAGTCTTCCTACAAATATCAGACTACGGTATTGAGATAAATTGTTTGATAGTCTGAGTTTTGAAAATTAAAATTGAGAGTGCTCCCAGGTGTCTCACCCAGAAATCAAGAGATAGTTTTTAATTGAGCTGGAAGGAGACAAAAGTGTGTTGAGTATTCTGCATGCCTTTATATAATATGGAGTAAGTTACTCACTAAGACTTTAAAAAAAAAAAAACACAGCAGTAAAATTTTCAAAATGGTCCTAGAGCCCCTAGGATGCTAAATTCCATTTGCAGAATTGCACTTGACTTCTTCCAGCGGAAGCTTAAAGAATAAAGTTAAATTTGTGACTAAACTCTTACTTTTATAGCTCAGTTAAGTACCTTCCCACATTCAGGGGTCTAACTTTTACAAAAATTGTTGATGGATATGTATACAACAGCTAGGGTTTGAACTCCCACAGGAAAATAGAAAGGACATAGCTTCACATAAGAACAGACACATCACAAACCAGTGGGAGTAAGGGTTTCACCTCTTTCTTTGAGAATCAGACTATCAGGGTTGGAAGGGACCTCAGGTAGTCATCTAGTCCAACCCCTTTCTCAAAGCGGGACCAATCCCCAAATCCCTAAATGGCCCCCTCAAGGATTGAACTCACAACCCTGGGTTTAGCAGGCCCATACACAAACCACTGAGCTATCCCTCCCCCGCAAGAGAAGATATTCAAATGGGGGGGGGGAGGGGGAAGAGGGAAAAACCACACCAAGAGAATTACAACACTAAAACAAAGGACAGACTGGACTCCATGTGGGAGTCCAATTAAAATGTCTCCATGAAGATCCATGCTGTATGGCCCACACAGCTTAATAAAAAATATGGACCACAAAAGTTGGATGACACAGGTCACTGGCAGTAGGACACAGATCAACTCACTGATTGAAATCTATGAACAGTAAAAAGCCTTGGTGACCAACATCTCTGTCGTATGTACCCTTGCTGGAAGTCTCCACAAGTCAGAAATGAACCAGGGGGAATAGATTGCAGTGTTATTGGCATTTCATGGCTACAGTTTGCCAAATTGACTATTATGCTCTGGACTTTCCTCCCAAGGACTAAAGGCATTTCTAGAGTGGGATCTTAAGCTTAAGTTTACTAAAACGCCATCCTGACGATCACATCCCACACTAGAACACTATTATTATATTTAATACTGAAAGGCAGATTGAGAATACACCTTCTGACATGTTGCCTGTCTACACAACGGCTTCCAGGAACCACATCTGGAGAAAACTATTAGCGTACTTCATTTGTCCCCTGTATCCATTTCGCTTGCAGAGAGCGTATTTAAATCTGTCCTTAGTTCTGTACTGTTGACTTTTCCTGTATGCAAATAACCCCTGTCCTATAGGGTTCTCAAACTTCATTGTACTAGGACCGCCTTCTGACAACAAAAATTACTACATGACCCCAGAAGGGAGGACTGAAGCCTAAGCCCACCCAAGCCCCACTGACCCAGGCAGTGGGGTGAGGGGGAACCAAAGCCCCACTGCCCTGGGCAGGGGTGGGATGTCAAAGCTGAATCTCAAGGGCTTCAGTCCCAGGCAGGGGGCCTACAACCTGAAGCCCTCAGGTTTCGGCCGTGGTTGGTAGGGCTTGGGTTTAAGCTTACACCTCAGCCCCAGGAAGGCTAATGCCAGCCCTTGTGCCCCCATTAAAACAGGGTTGTGACCCACGTTGGGGTCCTGACCCAGTCTGAGAACCGCTGCTCTAGGAGATAAGTATTCTGCACTAAAGCACAAGGCTAAGGTGCAGTAGGTTTAACACAAACTACTCTAAAAACACTACGTTGTTCGAATACTTGTAGTAAACTTTAAGATCATTTGAAGTACCTATTAAAAAAATCCTCAGCATTATAGTGGCAGGTGTTTTTGTCCAGGTTTGGGAGTTTTACATTGTTATACGCCACTACCCTTAGCTTTGTAAGAGTGTTATGCTTGCTTTACTTCAGAAATATGTACACAATCTAAGACCATCCCGCACACCCATCCTCAACATCACACCCATTAAACAGGATGAAGAAGTAAAGTTGAAATAGAAACCAGGGCTTTTTTTTGGGGGGGGGGGGTGGGGGGTGGAGGGGGAGAGAGAAGACAACACAAAACACAAACTCAAAGTCTTGTTGACATGTCAAAATATCCAAGCAGTAAGACTTCATTAGAACCTTTGTTTTGGTTTGAATGTATTTTGCCGACGTCAAACCTTACAGGCCAGAACTCAACATGGCAAACGGCAGTTCACCATGCTAAAATATCTTCCAATAATATGCAACATATATTCTACTGAAAGAATAATTTAATGGAATAAACTAATTTTGTGGGTATTTATGAAACCTTTGGCAAAAAACTGGGAATTCAATTTCTTCTAAGTAGCAGCATTACCAGTTAAGTTTGAGAACCCAATTGTTTCTATTAAAAAAAATATACAGTAGATAACTAGTATTTAAGTACAGCATTTACACTCAGTTTGCGAGGCTCTTTTCTTTTAAAGGTTTGGAGTTGGCCAAAATATTAGCACAGGAGAAAACTCAGTTACAGCAGTAGCATGGTTACATACAGGAAGTCAGCTTGGCATTTAACAAAATGGAGTTCGGTTCACAACAGTATACGGTATCTATTCAAAGCAAGTGTCCAACTCCAACATTTGGGTCTTCAAGCAGGAATCCTTCAAGAGAAGAGTAAACAAAGTCTTCTACCATTAAACAAAGGTAGCAATAAGAAGCATTGCTTCCTAAGCCACATGCGTGTCAAGAATGGCTACATCAGGGGTTCTCAAACTGTGGGTCGGGACCCCTCAGGGGGTCGCGAGTTGTCAGCCTCCACCCCAAACCCTGCTTTGCCTCCAGCATTTATAATGGTGTTAAATATATTTAAAAGTGTTTTTGATTTATTGGGGGTGGGTCGCACTCAGAGGGTTGCTATGTGAAAGGGGTCACCAGTACAAAAGTTTGAGAACCACTGGACTACATTCTTTTGCTTTGATGTTTAAGGTACAAGTTTGGTAAACATGTTAGCATTTGTGAATGCAAGTTGTTACAGTCTAAATTTAAAAAAAAAAAGTAAAGTGAATGTAACATTGGCAAGTTACTAAGACTTGGACACTGAAATAATTTATCCACAGAACAGGTCACACCCTGGGCATTACATGTGCAAGCTTCCCCAGTGCCCTTTCTAGCATGCCTCAACTCTGCCCTGGACGTCAAACCTCTACCAGCCAGAGGGAAGTTCAGCCTCTCTGCCAATTACTTCTAAATATGACCTTGATTCTTTTTATATGAACACTGCCTGATAACTGGATTGGTACCTTCCAAATTCACATAGGCTACTGAACAGTTTTCAGATGGTGATGACCTGATCAAGGACAACTTTGTATTTGAACCAGCAATCTAGAACATGTTCTGTGGAACTATTATGCACAGGCTTTTAGAAGTGTTATACAGCTTGTGGCCATAATATTAAAAGCTAAAAACCTTTTACAGAATAATTTGCCAGTTGCACAGTATTACACACAAAATTTTAATTTAGAAGATGTCTGTTCTATTTCTAAATTCTGTTATAACATGTCAGATATATAGGGTTATTAGATCCAGTTTTAGTGTTATAGTATTAGTTGGTCAGATTAATATATATTCTCATTTGTGAAAATACACCAGCACAGGTATATGAATGCAAATAAGATCAATTTAATCTACATGAAGACATGCTCTCACTTTCCAGAAGGATACACTTGTTTCCTTTCACTTTCAAATTAGAGGACTGTAGATTTACAAAAGAAAAATATTTACAGGTTAAAGTATGTTAAGCAAGACTTGTAAGAATGTTTTCCATGGAGGATATATTTTTCTTGCTTAATTTTCAAAAATAAATAGAGGCTTTCAACTGAAAGCATTTATTTTCCTAGTTATCTGAAGTGGCGTCTAGGGTGGGGGAAAAAATGCTTCAGACTTTTCATAGTCCACTTCGTTACATAAAACATCTCCTGTCCCAATGTTTGCTCAAATCCAAGTGATATTTTCTTCCCATGAAATATGACTGGAGCTTTCATTTTATTTTCAGCAATTCAGTCTGTTTCCATGGCAGCACTGCGGGATTCCTTAGCTACCATGAGTCGCATTAGCTGACTGTGGAATTTCTCAATCTTCTTTACATCTTGAGCCTGGTCTGTTCTGTATAGCAGACACTGTCAAAAGAAAGTTACTGAATGTCAGGTTTTATTTCAAGCTATTTAAATCTGTGATTTATAGTTTCAATATTAATTTCACATATTTCTGACACCAGAAAGCTTACACTATAAAGTGAAAGACTTCAAGGACTCTGATCAGTGCCATCTGTACTGTGTCCCAGACTTGAAAAGGCAATATAAAGCTACGCTTAAACTTCCAACTCCTATTACAACAATTTACTCAATTATTTTTTATATTATATATAAAAAATAAAATCAATCAATTTTCCTTTGGGTCCCCCATATAATGTGTTTGTGTTAACACTGCAAACTCTAATGCCAGGGACTGCTTTCTGTTTGGAAAGTTACCGAGCATACAGTTTGCACTTAGAACTCCATTGTTATAAAGCCTCATTGTAACTTGCAAAATTTTGGGTGCCATAAGGCTAGCATTGAATACAGTACATTGTATTCAGTGTTGCATACAGATAAAATTCTAAAGTTATAATCTGTGTAACACTAAAAGAAAACAATCTGGAATAAATTAATATATGCCTACTAAACATTTTTAATATTGACATTCCTTAGAGCACCATGTGTAACATTCTGGATAATAAAAGCAAAGAGTCCTGTGGCACCTTATAGACTAACAGACGTATTGGAGCATGAGCTTTTGTGGGTGATACATGCATCCGAAGAAGTGGGTATTCACCCACAAAAGCTCATGCTCCAATACGTCTGTTAGTCTATAAGGTGCCACAGGACTACCCCTTTGATTCTGGATAATGTTTACATCCACTCAAAACTCAGATTAATAGTTTTGGCTTTCCCC